CCTAAACCATAAACCCTAAACCCTAAACACTAAACCATAAGCCTTAAACACTAAACCCTAAACTCTAAACCCTAAATCCTAAACCCTAAATGTAAACCCTAAACCCTAAACCCTAAACCCTAAACCCTAAACCCTAAACCCTAAACCCTAAACCCTAAACCCTAAACCCTAAACCCCATCGCTTCCTCATTTCCCAATTTTTTTCTCTCTCTAATTTCTCACTCTACGCGAAATTCTCTCAATTTTCAGAATAACGGCTACAGTTCCAACGGCTACTGTACCAGCTGGAAATGGCGCGTGAGCCGCCGGAGGACCTGTTCAGGCCGCCGGACCTGTCCCACCAGGAGCGCCTGGAACAGACGAACAAAACCCACCCACAATCGCCCTCTAATTCAATTAGTAACTCTGTGAATTCGCAAATGAATGAAGCGATGAACATCGCGATTTCGGAGAAGGAATTAGACGGGATTCGTAAAAATATTTCCACAGATCTTAATGATATTTTTTATGCAAGATTGGTTAATGGGGATGAATCTCCTAATCAAAAGCTACAACATATCACAAAATCAATGGATTCTATCATCCCAATCGCAAGATCTGAAGATGCGATTTCTGGGCAAATTGCGAATGTATCGCCTGAACGCCGCCTTCAATTTCGAGCATCCTCCCAGCAATTTCGAGGGGATTTGAATAGCGGGGATTACTCCCCTGGTGAAGAGGTACATCTCACTGCAATTTCGAGTAAAATGGATGCTCGAGTCGCCGGAGGTGAAAATTCCGATGGTGAAGACGCGATGAACAAAATTTTGGACGGCGACATGATTCAAGGATGCAATTCTACTGGTAAGCTGATTCATCTGATTAATATTTCCAATAAATTAACTCACGAGCAGGTCCAGGAGGAAATCCCTACAAGAATGGGTATATTTCAATCACAACAATCACACAACCATCAGCCGGAAAGTGCAGCACAAAGCAAGGGTCATAGTTCTAATCAAGAAGGGCCCCTAGTCCACAACCAAGAAGAATCGAATAACCAAAAATCATCTCCACAAGAGATGACTGTAACGGACAAGGAAGGACAATACAATGAACAAGATCAAAGACCAGGACAGGGTCCAAATGGCCAACCAGATAATACAAGCAAGGCAGCGGTGGAAGTAATTGAGGTGGAGAGTTCGTCCCAATTTTCATTTGGAGTTCAAGCTGTTGGTACAAATCCCAGCAATGTGTTACAGCAACAACCAGGTAAGGATGTCAATTCACAATATGCTATGGACACTGATCAAGTGTAGGTACAACAGAGAAACAAAACCAAGTCACAGGGCAATGTCTCAAACGCAAAAGGAACTCAGCCAGGTAAGGTCACTAATCCAAATATTGAGTATAATGCTGTAACTCAGAGTAGTAGCGAAGGTCAAGTACATTTGAATGCGGTCGAGCAAAAGAATGGTAGTATAATTGAACAGGAACAGGTAACCAGTGACAACAAGTCTCATCATGCGGATGAGCAATACCATGGTAATGGAAATGAGAAACTTGAGCACAATCGTCCATATAAGCAAGGAGAGAATTCTGACCCTAATAGCTATCACAATGCTTTCCCAAAAATTTCAAATAACTTTGAGAAACATGTTCCCCAGAATCAAAAAAGCCACCCTAACAATAATCCAAATCCTCCCACGGATGAAACCACTCCAAATAACACTCAACATGCCAAAAAGGACCAGAATAGCGAACCAGCCCCTTATACAGTGATTCAAACCATGGCCGCGAGACTTAGGCATAATCAGGCCCAACAGGAAACTCTCATTGAATTAGTGCCTCCTAAAATCACATCCAAACAAGGCTTACCTGCTATCATCTATGATAGGGATGACTATATGACAAAGTTGGCTGTGGACTGCAAATACACCTTAATAGGTAAATTTAGCAGTACTATGCCAAAGATGGAACTGATTAGAAAGAGCTTCATTCTACAAACTCAGCTGACTGGAGGGGCCAACATAGCTCATTACAATGCAAGACATGTATTTATTGACTTGGAGAATGAATTGGACTATAATACGGTTTGGACACAACAAAGAATGACTATCGAGGGTAAACTCATGAGGATACAGACCTGGACTCCTAACTTCACACCGGAGGAAGAAACACCTATTGTTCCTATATGGGTACTGCTCCCAGGTTTACCATGGCACTGTTTCAAGAAGGAGTTTATAACACCCCTATTATCTCCTATAGGCAAGGTTCTGTACCTAGACACAGCTTCTATTAAGAGAACCAGAGCTAGCATGGCAAAGGTTAAAGTCCAGGTGGACCTAACTAAGGCTAGACCTAGGCACGTATGGATTGGACTTGATGAGGAAGATCTTACCATAGGAAGATGGCAAGCTATTGAATATGAAAGTATCCCTCCATATTGTGAATATTGCAAACATCAAGGACACATGGTATATGAATGCAACTTCAAAATAAGAGATGAGGAATTCAAAAAAAGGAAGGAGATGGAGTCAGAAAAGAAAGACAACAACAAAGGGGAGCAATTGCAAAGGAGTAATGACAACAACCAGACCAAAGAAAAGGAAAAAGAGGAGGAGCAAAATCAAAGAAAAAAGGAGGCTAGCTTCCAGAGGCAAGCTGTCCAGCAAAGGGAAGAGGAATGGCAAACACAAAAAAGGAAACACAACAAACAACAAGAAGAAAGAGTCCAAAAAACAGTTTGGAGACCAACTTCACCACAAAAAAGGATGGCAAATCAGCAAACAGGTATGTCAAATAATCTTACCCATAATTCCTTTACTAATCTGAATATGCAGGAAGATCAAAATGAAGAAAAAGAGGAACATACCAGAAACGGAAGGCTGCAAACACAGGAGACACAAAACAGACCTGTAACAGGCCCTAATCAAGCAAAGCAGCCAGTACAAATTGGCAACAAGGAAGATGGCAAGAGCACAGGTATTGACTCAATGCTCCCAATCCCTACACACCCTAATAATGTATCTGTTGAGTGCATTGCTGAAGTTGAAGGAGGGATGGAAGGGGGAAGTCAGGAGAACCATTCTAACTTGCAGGAAGGGGTGTCCAAAGGGGGGAATCTGACTCATGTTATGCATGAGGGGGTATACACTGACCATAGTATTGACCCTAGAGCCTCTGCAACCCCTATGAAGCATTCATACAACACAAGACAACAACAGAAACTACAACAACACACAACAATAGCACACAGTCCTGAAGAACAGCAGGGTAATGTCACAGAAAAAAGACAGAAGAATTATGCAGCTCAGGGGTATGAAGTAACAGAAACAGAAGGTTTCAAGCAGCAGGCAGACAGAGAGGAAAATGATAACCAAAGAGGGGCAGCTATGGCAAAGGATATGGGGTCCAAAGCCAGCACCAGCAAACAAGGGATTACCCCTAAGAGCAAGAACAAACCCAGCAAAAAGAAGAGGGAAGCAGCTAAGAAGAGACTAAATGCACAGCAGGCAGATGACAAGAGGAAGGAACAGGGTGATCAGGATAGCACATGCAAAAAATTTATTATGGTGGATGATCAACAGGGTATGGATATCACTCCGCTTCAAACTCAATATCTCACTCCCACACCTCATGAGCCTCCAGATAAAGCACCAGCTTGCAAGATTAATTCTGTACCAGTTATTGATGAATACGAGGTGGAAGCTTCAGAGGATGAGCTGGACATGGATAATAAATCCATACAAGATCAAGATGATGATGATGAGACTAGTGAGCTGTTGATTAAAGCATTTAGTCCCCATAATTCCAATGCTCTTGAAGAGGAAATACAACAAGTGTCGAGTCAACAAGGGTTATCACCTAGAGGAAAAAATTGTGACAGGTTCCAGAAGATCAAAGCACAAAATCCTAATGCTATTACAGCAGGTAGACCAAACACCAGGCTCTTTACGTCCAAATCAGCCCAATGATTAATACACTTATTTGGAATGTAAGAGGGATTAACACCCAGGGAGTTATGGAAAGACTTAAAGTGCTTAGGAAGATGCATCAGATCTCTATTATAGCCATTCTGGAACCTTTCTCAGACTGTACACAGGTTCAGACCTTTAAATACCAACTTGCTATGGACCATGCTACGAGTAATTGCAATGGCAAGATATGGTTGTTTTGGAATTTAGAGGTTGACTGTAAAGTATTAGAGGAAGATGAGCAACAAATCACTTGTGAAATTGCCCATAATGAGCTACAAACTCCTTTCACCACCACTTTTGTTTATGCCAAATGCAAAGACCATCTTCGAAGACCTCTATGGGACAGAATGTTAGATCATGCTAATGCCACCACCAATTCCCCGTGGTGTGCAGTGGGTGATTATAATGTTATTACTTCCATTGATGAGAAACTGGGAGGAGTGCCTTATAATATGGAAAAAAGTCTGGAATTTATTGCTGTGATCGAAGCTTGTGGTCTTATGGACCTTGGTTTCAGTGGACAGAAATTTACATGGTCTAATAACAGGGGTATACACAGCAGGGTTTGGAAGAGATTGGACAGGGCCATGGTAAATGACCCTTGGCTAGAACAAATGCCTCAAACTACTATCATTCACCTCCCATCAGTAGGCTCTGATCACTGCCCTTTGCTGATGGAAATGAATAATAGAAGTGAGGACCATACTAAGTACTTCAAGTTCTTAAATTGCTGGGCTGACCAACCTAATTTCTTGGACATTGTTCAAGCTTGTTGGGATAGAGAGCAAGAAGGAAACAGCATGTGGAAGTTTCATCAGAAACTCAAAAGACTGGCACGTACTATTAGTAGTTGGTCTAAGGAAGAATTTGGTGATATTTTTATCAAAGTCAAGGAGTATGAGAACAGAGTTAAAATGGCTGAAGAATCCTTTATACAAAACAATTCTGAAGAAAACAGAACTGCTCTACATGCAATCAATGCTGATTATATCAGATTTTTGAAACTGGAGGATTCTATTCTAAAGCAAAAAACCCAGCTCCAATGGTTTAAAGAGGGAGATAGCAACTCAAAATACTTTCATTCCTTATTAAGAGGGAGAAGGAGGAGACTATTTATACACAGAGTTACAGGAGATGATGGGGAATGGATACAAGGGGATGAGAATATTGCAGATGCAGCATGCAGCCACTTCCAGCAGATATTTACAGCAGAGGATAAGTTCATTTATGAAGGGCCCCTTGAATGTATTCCCAGAATGCTTACTCATGAGCATAATGCCAGCCTTATTGCTTTGCCTACTATCGATGAATTAAAAGAGGTGGTGTTTTCTATGAACCCCAATTCCGCAGCAGGTCCTGATGGCATGAATGGGTGTTTTTTTCAGAAATGCTGGCAGATTATCAAGCATGATCTGTTAGCTGTCATTTTGGCCTTCTTCAGTGGACAAATGATCCCCAAGTATTTTTCCCATTCTTGCATTGTTTTGTTGCCCAAAGTTAACAATCCAAATAAGCTCTCTGAATTCAGGCCCATTAGCCTAAGCAACTTCACCAACAAAATCATTTCTAAGCTTCTAAGCTTGAGAATGGGACCTATTTTACCCAACCTGATTTCTCTTAACCAATCAGGTTTCGTCAAGGGTAGAAACATTTCAGAAATATCATGCTTGCACAAGAGATTATCCATCAAATTAAAAAACCTAACATTGGTAGCAATGTGGTCATTAAATTGGATATGGCTAAGGCCTATGATAGGGTCTCCTGGGCGTACATTTGTTTGGTGCTTAGAGAATGGGCTTTGATGAGATATTCATTGACATGGTATGGAGGATCATGGCGAATAATTGGTACTCAATCATTGTTAATGGAAAAAGACACGGTTTCTTCCAATCAACCAGAGGACTGAAGCAAGGTGATCCCCTCTCACCTGCCCTATTTATTTTAGGGGCTGAAGTTCTGTCAAGATCCCTGAACAGACTCCATAACAGGCCAGATTATCATGGTTTCTTTATGGAGAAGAGAGGACCCCAAGTTAATCATCTTAGCTTTGCGGATGATATTATTATATTCACTTCTGGAAGGAAAAAGTCCTTGGAACTTATTATGCAAACATTACACACATATGAGGCAACATCTGGGCAATTAGTGAATAAAGACAAAAGTCACTTTCTGATCCATTCTAATGCTTTCAACAGCACTAGGGACAGGATCAAGAGAATTACAGGCTTTAAGCAGAAGGAGGGTCTCATTATTTACCTTGGCTGCCCTCTATACATGGGCAGACCAAGAATCATATATTTTTCAGACCTCATCAGCAAAGTACTGAACAGAATTACAGGGTGGAAAGCTAAGATATTGAGCTATGGAGGCAGAGCTACTTTAGTGAAACATTTGTTGCAATCAATCCCTATCCACACCATCTCTGCTATCTCTCCTCCCTCTACTATTATCAAGCAAATTCAGAGCCTTCTGGCTGACTTCTTCTGGGGGTGGAAAAATGATAGGAAAAAATACCATTGGTCTTCGTGGAGAAATTTGAGCTTTCCGTATGAGGAGGGAGGTATTGGAATGAGAAATTTGAAAGATGTATGCACAACATTCCAATACAAGCAATGGTGGATATTTAGATCAAAACATACTCTTTGGGGGGAGTTCCTAAAAGCTAAGTATTGTCAGAGGTCTAATCCTATCAGCAAAAAATGGGACACGGGTGAGTCTCTAATTTGGAAACATTTAATGCACAACAAAGTGAAGATGGAGGAACATATCCACTGGCAAATCAACTCAGGCACCTGTTCCTTCTGGTGGGACAATTGGTTAGGAATTGGTCCCCTAGCCAATTTTTCTGCTGAGAGTAACAGGTTCAACAACACTGCTGTAGCAGATTTCCTGATTGATGGTCAATGGAACTTGGAAATGGTGCTACAACAAGTCCCTCAGAATATGGTTACCAACATCCTCGAGTTTCAGATTCAGTATCAGCAAGAGGTCCCGGATCAACCAATGTGGAAATTAAATCCCAATGGTAAATTCACTTGCTCCTCGGCTTGGAATGATATCAGGGAAAAGAGAGACAAAATACATTTTTATGCCTTTATTTGGCAGAAAAATATTCCTTTTAAATGATCCTTTTTGTTGTGGAGAGCTCTGAAAGGTAAACTTCCGACAAATGAAAAAATAACTAGATTTGGTGGAGAGCCTGCTGGCTGTTACTGCTGCAGTAGACCTGGATGGGATACTATTAGTCACACCTTCAGCACGGGCCAATTTGCAACATTAGTGTGGAGGTTTTTTGCTGTACAAGCTGGAGTCAATGCTGGAGTCAATGCTGGACAAACCTCCCTTACTCAGCTAATTATGAATTGGTGGTCGACCAAGTACAATAACGAAGCCCATAAAATCATTCTCCAAGCTACCCCTATATTCATTTGCTGGAACTTATGGAAAAACAGGTGTGCAAAGAAACATGGAGGGAAGCAGTCTAATGTTTCTAGAGTGAAATATGCAATATACAAGGATAATTACAAGCTCATAACGAACACCTACCCCTACATCAAATGGCCCTCTAATTGGAAAGATATGATCAGGCTGGCAGAGAAATGTTACCATGACACAAAAGTAACCCGGGTAGCATGGAAAAGACCAAGTGAACAATGGGTAAAACTGAATACGGATGGTAGTGCTTTATGTAACCCCGGAAGAATAGGTGCAGGAGGTATAATCAGAGATCTCAATGGGGAAATTCTCCTCGCTTTCGCCACACCATTAGGGGAAGGAACCAACAACCAAGCAGAGATAGGAGCAGCCATATTTGGACTGACCTGGGCAATACAGTCAGGACACAGGAACGTCGCGCTAGAAGTGGATTCGCAGCTATTGATGCATTGGATAGCACTTAAAGCTAAGCCTCCATGGAGTGTCAACACACAGATACAGCAGCTCCAACAGCTCATCAGACAGACCCACAGTTTTACATGCAAACATATCTTCAGAGAAGCCAATTTTGTTGCAGACTCATTGGCAAAATATAGTCACAAGATCACAACCCCACAAATATACTACAGCATCCAACAACTACCAAAGCAAGCAAGAGCATACTATCAACTGGACATGATTGGAATGGCAAGCTTCAGGAGAAGAAAAACCAAGAAGATCCACGAACCCCCCTGAACAGGAATACAGTTATCCAATGATACTATAGATTAAGTATAGTCTTTTTGATTAGGTATAGGGTCTTTTTGGTTCTTTTTTGAATTGTAAGGGGAGAGTCTCCCTTATTTATGTTTGCCTAGAATCTTTGTATTGAGAGGAGTCCTCTCCTTAGGTGCATAGTTCTAGGTTTTCCCTTTATAGTATGGGAAGGAGTCGACTAACCTTAGTAGGTAGGTCGACTTAGTACCCACCATAGGATCGGAGGTAAGATTTATGTTCCCCTCCTTGTAATTTTTTTGAGCTCTTTTGAGCTTTTTATTTATGCTAAGGCCTGGGGGTGTTGCTAAGCCCCTGACCCCTCCAAGGGTCGTTCAAATAAAATAAAAAAAAAAAACCCTAAACCCTAAATAAAAAAAAAAAAAAAAAAAAAAACCCTAAACCCTAAATCCTAAACTCTAAATATTAAACCGTAAACCATAAACTCTAAACCCTAAACCTTAAATCCTAAACTCTAAATGTTAAACCCTAAACCCTAAACTCAAAAATGTAACCCTAAACTGTAAATCCAAACTCAAAACCCTAAACCCTAAACTCCAGACCCAAAATCCTAAAACCTAACTCTATATCCTAAACCATAACCCAAAACCCTAAACCCTAAATCCTAAACTCTAAATATTAAACCCTAAATCGTAAACGTAAACCAAAACCCTAAACCCTAAATACAAACTCTAAACACTAAACCATAAACTCTAAACCCTAAATCCTAAACTCTAAACTGTAAACCGTATATCCTAAACCCTAAACCCTAAACCCCATCGCTTTCCCATTTCCCAATTTTTTTCTCTCTCTACTCTCTCTCTCTAAGCTGAACGCTCCCAACTCTAAGCCCAACGATTACTGTTCCAACGGCTACAGGAACTACTGGAATGGAGCGTGAGCCGCTGGTAGGCATCTCCAGGCCACCGGACAAATCCCAACAGAGGCGCTCTGAGCAGACGAACAAAATCCACCAAGAATCACCATCTAATTAATCCTACAACTCCACGAATTTGCAAAATACAGAGGCGATGAATATTGCGATTTTAGAAAAGGAGCTGGATGGGATTCAAAAAATTATTTCCCAAGATCGAGATAACCTGATTCATTGAAAACTATTTACTGGGAATGATTCTACTAATCAAGGGCTACAACATACTAAAAAATCACATGATTCCACTGTGCCAATTGCGAGATCTAATGAGGCGATTTCTGGGAAATTTGTTGAAAAATCACCGGAGTTGCGCCTTTAGATTAGTCCAGTGTCCCACCAATTTCATGTCATTTTGACCAATGGGGATTGTTCACCTGGTGAAGAGGTACATCTCACAACAATCTCAAGTAAAATGGATGGCCCAGTCACCGGCGACAAGAACTCCGGTGAGCAAGCAGTCGAAAAAGTGAAAAGTGACGACGGCGCCACCCAGGGCAATTGCTCGTTGGATGAGGAGGTCCACCTTACGAACATATCCACCAACTTAGTTCAGGAACACAGCCATAACGAAATTCAGGCGAGTTTCATTAATTCTACAACCAATCCACAAAATGAGTTTGAAGAACTCAATTGCAGAACTGAAGCAGAGCAGCAGGGGACGTACTCTCAATATCATGCAGGTCCTAATGGTCAAACACAAGATCACAATGCAATGGAGGAGCAAAAAATAGAGATGGAATTAAAACAAGTAGCTACACGAACCTACCAAGACCAAAATGATCAGCATGACAATACAGGTTCTGCCAATATGGAAGTCATTGACGTGGAGAGTTCATCACATTTCTCATTCGGAGTGAAACCAATGGACACAATTCCTAGCAATGGAGGATAACAAAGACCAGGTAAAACTCATAAGCATAATAATGAACTAGATCATGATTGTATGCAGGAGCAACATCAAAGATATACCACTTCAATAAGCAAAAACCCAAGCAAGGAGAGCACTCAGGCAGGTAAGTCCCCTCACTCCAATTCTAGTAGAATTGTTGTTAACTTGAGTAGTAGTGATGTCCATGTGAAAGATAATGCAAATGGGCAAAAGAATGTTATGTGGAATGAGCAGGAAAAAGGCAGGGGAGACATTGAATCCCAGTAGCAGCAGGCTCATCGACAGGAAAATAATGTGAGAGATTAAAATCAAGCTCAACAACCTGATCATGGAGGGAATTCTGAATCCAATAACTATCATAAGGAATTCCCTAAAATTTCTGGAAACTTTGACAGACACACCATTTCCAATCAGAAGAGTCAGCAAATATAGCATCCCAACCAATCCAAAGACCTCAGCAGTCTCAACGAGAACCAAAATACAAAACAAGATCAGAATATAGAACCTGCTCCTTATACAGTGGTTCAGACTCTAGCTGCTAGGCTTAGGCAATTCATGCTACTCAAACTACCTCTATAGAACTTGTTCCCCCCAGACACACTACCAAACAGGGACAACCTACTGTAATCTAAGATATGGATGACTTCATGAACAAATTGGTTGCGGACTGTAAATACACCCTCATAGGTAAATTCAGTACCACCATGCCAAAAATAGAACTCATCAGGAAGAGCTTTATCCTAGAAACTCAGCTGAATGGAGGCGTGAATATTGCCCACTATAATGCCAGG